CCTTAGCTCAGCAGGCTTCCAGACCACTGGCCAATGCACAGTTTAGATCACATTTCCCCCAAAATCTGCCTACGTCTTCATGTTGAATTTAAATCTCAATTCCGTAGTTTATATGGTCATATTGACATCATCTTTCCACTGGAACATGTTGGGTATGAGAAGGCTGGTGTAGGTGCCGCAAAAATCTGCCTCACTTTGAACTGGTTTCGTGATGACTTTCTATCTGAGCAAGACGGTAGGGAAAGACATGGCTTAGACGAAGTTACAAGTCAATAAAAGCTAACATGCGAGTCCCAAGAAGTAATTGAGAAGAAGACAAAGAACTGATCGCTCGGAAGAGTTTTATCCGCCTGTCGTTTCGAAATCCGTCACGGCTCCTTCTGCTACTATTTTGCTTATGTCTCTGATGAACGGTCCACGACGGATTTCGAAACGTTAGGCGAATAAAACTCCTGTCCCAGCGGTTTCATCTTCTTCTCGAAGTTACAAGTTTCGGACGCTTGCCGATTTCTAATATCACAGGGGTCACTCTTTACCGAGGAGGTCTTAAATGTCAAACTTGTCAGAGTTCAGTGAAAGCCACCTTACGAACAGATGTATTGGCCCAACTCCGCGTGCAATGCTCAACATCTCGCGACGGTTGGCACATGTGCACCTGTAGACTAACCCTAATCCGGTCTGGCCAATTATCCTCCTGAGGATAACTCATAGATGACCTCGTGTAAGGCGCTGGACGACTCCTGCGTTCTGACATTTCGGACGCCACTCTCGCGGCTGCGGACGCACGGTCGTCCGACTGCCAACTTCCTCCAACCTATTCTCTACTGGTTCTGTACAGAATACACTATTCCTCCTACCTGGCGTCCCACTTCTTTTTCTTATCTATGGAACTGGACCTGAAGATCGCGGCGTCAAGGGTTTTGCCTATTCACTTAAGCCACTGCGATAGGGACCTTTGCCTTCTGGTTTTCAACTTTCGGTAAGACCGACGTATCCCATCAAGTAGCGTAAAAAATGCTGTTGAAAGTGACGAGAAATATAAATG